TATATATATATGTATATCAAATTAATTTAGATAGAAATTTATGTAATATATATGAAAAGAATGGTTTTGCTAAAACATCTAAAAATTTAGATAGATATTAATCTGAAAATAATTTGATCGAAACATCAAAATAGCCCTTACTGATACCATGCTCAATTCGGTGCCTCATCCCTGCCATCGTGGGTCACTACAATCAATTTAGAACATTTTCACCTATTAAATGGTTCAAAAAATCTCTAAAAATTCACGAATATACATTCAACTTTCTAGAACAAATGTTTAAAGTATAAACTTCATTTTGGAAAATAACAAAATATAGTACAAGTTATAATTACCGAAAGACTCATAAGTTGGGAAAAAGTAGCATCTAATTTAAAAAATTGTAACTTTTTGTAATAAATAAATGTAAAAAAAGACTCCGAGATTTTTTTAGTTTGGATATGAAGTTTTGAAAAAAAAACTATAACTTTGAGAATTCTACAAAAAGTTGAATTATTTGAGCACACGAAGACGAGTAATTTTCAACAAGGGACAAATATTGTAGGAAAAATCGAGTTAAAATATGCATTTTTTTATTTTAGTATAAAAATAATGTATTTTTTAATGAAAAAAGGTTCTCTCTAGAGTACACGCATCAGAAATCGTCTTTACTCGTATTCTTACTCTTTACTCCAACCGTACATCCATCCAGAGCACAGGAATCCAGAGATCTTCGCACTCAGCTACTCTGGACGTGAACTCCCTCCAGAGCACAACATACGACTCTCTGCAGCCGATCATAACGTCTTATTTTTATTCCACTCGAATTATCTTTGCAAAATTCATAGGCGTGATGTACTTGAAAAATTTTCTGATCTCAGGATGAGCCTTCAGTTCTTGTAAGAGATACGATCCTACTTCTGATACCAATTGTAGGAGCCGGCAAAAAAATTAACGAAGTCTATCGAGATTTGAATTCGGGATCCCTCGTTTACAAATCTAGCACTCACAAAGGAACCTCTCGAGGTGTCAAATTCTGATTTTACTACAAGTTCACAAAGTTTCATTAAAATTAGAATTTGACACCTCGAGAGGTTCCCTTGTCAGTGTGCTACGCCAACGACGCTTCACTGTTGTCATAATTATTCCGGTCGCTTATGTATTTTAAATGACCTTATATCAACTTATATACGGTTCTCCTTATTTTCCTACTGTACAATGATGCTCACCAATTGATTTCTCGCACATAAAGCAACAAATCCAAATTTTTCTGTTGACGTTGCTTTTGCAATAGTAATCGTCAATACCAGAGCGATGTAATTTTAATTTACTTTTAACTCAATTTTTTTATCGGAACATCGGTAAATTTTAAAACAACCGGTCATCCAACCGTTTGCGAGCAATTGCCGTTCCTCTGCAAAACATCGCTCTGGTCATCATTATCATGTTTATGATTGTATCTATATCTTCGACTGCGGTGAACCAATATAACATCACCTGTATATGCACATTTTGCATATCTGAGGAAGACTCAATCGCGCGCGCGCGTGAGACCGAAACATGTAATATGATTAATTGATTACAGAATATTATAAGGTATTTACTTTTAATTTGAATTTTCATGGTTTAAAAAATTTTTTACGTTATATTGACTCTTATATCCTGTACTCTCTCATTATTGTTATAATTAAATTATAGTCATTATTGTAATTATTTTTATGGTAATATTAACTATCATTATAGTCATTTTCGGTTACTAACTATATATATTTGTCAATAGACTTATATTGTACATTATTATCATTATTATTATTATTACTAATATTACAGCAGTAATAATTAATAATCATAATTATATAATACTAACATGAATTATGAATACAATACCAAAAATTTTTCTCTCAGTGCATGATGAGCAATGCTGCAAAAAGTTAAACATTCCAGCAATCAATTTGAATGTGTGTGTGTCTACCAGTTTGAATTCTACATAATAATTTTGACCAAGAAAATTATTTTCAGGTGTGCGTCTAGATAAATTTTTAGGTACTTCAGCTAAATCGTTCCTTCCATCTAGTAATAACTCCAATACATTACTATATATTTATTAATAGAAAAAGTTCTTCTAAAATAATCGTTTTAAAATAGCTATTTTTTTTACTATATAATAGTACATTTATCTTTATCACAAAAAAGGAAATATATTATTTATAATATACGGCACACATAAAAATATTTCCGTTTCTATATTTTAATTGCGATGGTATTAAAATTATTAAAATTATTAATTATTATATATGTATTATTACATCGATGTATCAATAATCAATAACGCTGAGATATTCGCGTTATCACATTTCTGTGGACGTTACACTACGATATTTCCCGGAAACAAGAGACTTGCCTATAATTACCACGGTTACCGGGAACTAATGACACCGACGGACGTATTATTAGTATACACTTCCAGCGCACACTCCAACGGTCTTATCTGGGCCGAGGGGTAACGGCGACAGTTCGTATAATTGATTCGGGATAATGTTGTCATCTTCGGGCTACCAGTCACTGCACCAGAAATCTGTCGTTTACAAATTCGTTTTTAGTGGTCGTTTGTTTTACCCTTACGAGTTCACCTCGTCGCAATTTCCTTATTGTGCCGCTTTTTTTGTCCGTCAAGACGGAGGAAACGGAAAAGTTTCAACTTCAAGTTGTAAGTTTACTCCATTATCATGACTTACTTCCACCTTTTCATAATGTGACACATTTCGAGCAGAGACAGTAAAATAATTTGCTACACAGTGATACATCTTCTTAATTTCAAATTCGACTTGATTTTGTGAATTAGAGATCTAGTGTAAGCGCATCATATTTAGAATAATAAACATTTTCTTAAAATTCGCTAAAAAAAAAGAAAGATGAAAAGAGAAATTGTTGTTTGGTCCTTCTCTTATCTTGAGTCAAAATCAAAATGTTAAGAGTAAATTGATTTTCTATTTACTTTAATTACGAACTTCTGCTTTTATTCTTCAGTCATAAAAGAAACTAAAATAAAACTGAGCTGCTTTAAAAAAGTTTAGATATGCTTTCCTTGTGTACAGTATACTCCTAACTTTTTTCCATAGACAAAATTTATAGCAGACGATAATCTTTAAATCGGCTCCCTTTCTTCTAAACTTCAACCTAGGCTCAGAAAAACAAGCCTATTGAATGTAATACTGTTTTTACTCTGCTAAAAGGTTGATGCTCCATTAATAAATAGTTAAAACTCTAACTAGTTTTTGAAAAAAAAGAAGCTTTTTTTTAAGTTAATTTATTCAACTAACCAAAAAAACAACCATAATTTCTATCATTTTCAATCCAAACTAATTCAATGATGTGCACATTTTAAGCGGATTTTTGTTGTATTTCATGTGTCGCGCGATTATTTACTGTTGTATTGATATAACACACTATTATCACGAAATCTCGTACGAACAATCAGGTGCTACAAAATTATGTAATTTTTCGATCAATTTGATAATTCATATGTTAAAGATTAATGGAAAATTATAATTATATAGCTCAATTTTCACAATATATTCTCAAATATACAAAACAATTAGGTATAAAATAGCTCCAATCTCAATATATTGCACATATTATAAATAAATAAAACGAGAAGAACAAATTGTGATCAATTTTGTCTTTCTCAACAAGTAATGCATGTTTCTTGTGGGGCTTTTCATACTGAAAAAAAAGAATATACTTCTTACAAAATTCCATGAAAAAATTTCCTTTAATTTTTAGAAACTTCGTTTTGAATTTTTTATATAATTTTAATATATTTGTAATATGTATATAATATATGTAAAATGTGTACGTAGCTGTAAAAAAATTAATATTTTTTTAACAGAATATAAAAATAAATATGACGATATAAAGCCTCTTTTATTGTTTATGTACAATTTCAAGTGATATATTGAAATAATAAAGCCTATTAGCAATATTTAATGTTAAAAAATTACACTAATTTACAAGGTTCTATCTCTCAACTCCCGAATGGTACTTATTATGTATTTTACTCTGTAAAGTTAAAGAAAAAAATTGTAAATTGTTCAAATTTATAATTTTTTAAAAATAAAGTCTTCAATTTCTCAAAATCTATGAGTGATGGAACTTTTTTAACATTATTATATATTTTTTTAACATTTTTAAACATAAGGGTTATCATTTAGATGTTGAGAAATAGAAAGGGTTAAAAATGCATTAGGATTATCATTCAGATGTTGAGAAATAGAAATCTTGTAACACCGTGTTATTGATAAATTCCTGAAAACGTACGAATCACATTTCTAAATATACTTATCGACAATTCGGTATCAAATAACCTCAACGTTTCGTATGAAAAAAATAAAATAAATATTTTCCGGACTGTCATATCGCATACATCGTCTTCTTTCAATACATACGTGATTACGCGAAAGCAGCAAACGTTATCGCGCTGGAAACTGAAATATGAGAAATCGCTTCACGCACACCGCTTTGCGAAACGTCACGTTCGTAAACATCCATCGGTCTTTTTGAATGTAATCGACGGTGAAAATATTTCAGGAGCGCCGATGGAACTTTATCTTCGACCCCGTTTTCAAAGACCCTATATTCCATCGTCAAAGCAGACAGGGAGGCCGAGAAGAGGAGGAAGAAGGTGATGCGCTCAGGATGTTTGTGTATTCGGAAAAGGATCAAGCTCATATCGCGAAATCCTCGACGCTACGTTGTATAGCGTCCCACTCATATCTAGCATTATTAGAATCTAAGCCCTATCATATGTAGATGTTCGTAACAACCTCCCTATCTATGCCGTTCGATCGATCTCAAGCGTCGCCTTTAAGGCCACGCTAGGGTTTTTGAAACACTTGAGTAAGTTTCACACCGGTAAAAGTTATTCAAGTGTTTCGCCGGTGAGAATATAATTGGAAATTAGATTCTTCTAAAATTCATATATTCTTGTATATACAGGGGTGTTTCTGCATACAGTGCCAAAACTGCTACAGCGGCTTCAGCATATGAAAATAAGTCGAAGATGTTTAATAAACATATGTCCGATTCCGAACGGACTAATTCCGACGGCTAAAGCCGCTATAGCACTTTTGACACTATATGCAGAGACACCCTGTATATATGATCATATGCAAAGACACCCTGTAAAGACACCCTATATATGATATGATATATATACACTGAAAAAAAATCTGATTGAATAAATTGGAATTCTGGTTCAACCATTTTTTAGAAAATTTGTTAGAAAATGAAGGAAATAAAATTCTTTCAGAAATTACTACATGAGTATGATTAATTCCTTACTAAGTATACCAGAACTTCATGATAATAATAAATAGTACTAAATTTACTTATGCAGCTAGGTCAGTATTACTTTTTAATAAAAAAATGTCTAGTAAATATAAATAAAAGTTTTATAGACCCAACCAAAAATGCTAATCAAATCCTTAGTCTTAAATTTATCAAACATTTTTAGCTTTAAAATATCGAATCAAGTAACTTCCATCCCATCTCTTCCCTTGTTTAGAGGCGTGCGACTTCCACGCGAAACGACTCTCATTCTATCTTCTTCTCTGCCTGGGAGCGCGCGACTTAATTTTATTATACTACTATATTTGGTTGATAATGTACCTATATGTATAACCATGAAAATTAGTGATAAGATCATTTTCAATATCAAATGTGAAAAAATATCAAAAAAATGGTTTTTCCAAATTTGACTTTGAAAATGATCTTGTCGGTAATTTTCATGATTATATTTATAATTAGCACATCGAAATACAGTAGTATACCAATCAATAGCAAAATCGGAGATTTCAGGTTTTGAAAATTTATAACTTTATTACGTTTTGAAAAGCTCTTGACATTAGCTATTAGATTCTGGCATAAAAAATAGGGTGTCCCATTTTTAAAAAATCGATTTGACTTTGACTTGATCTTGGTGATGCTCCACTCAAGGCGGTGCCACTCGAATTGATAAGAGATCTGTATAAAATAGATTTTTTTACACCTTACAACTTTTGTCTGAAATATTCTTTTCGAAAACGTCATTTATATACTCCTCCCGAGTATAAATCCGGAATCCCAACCTTTTTTGAACACTCTGAATATGTATGTATTGTTACACCCGCAGCGGGCGGTCTTGCAACCTTGCGCTCGCGTTCTCGGCAATAAATGAGATGATAAATACGAGATAACATTCGTATTTAAATAAAGAATGCTCGTTTATTGAACACCACAGGCAAATATAATGGAAACGGCGTGTGGAGAAAAAGAACGTAACAGAGCACGTCCATGCGGGATAACGACTTGACACGAAACTTGAAGTCGTTTGCTTGACAATCACGCATCTCATTACCCAGAGAACGCGCTCTTCGTTTTCCTAATTTTTTAAAGAAAGGAACAAGTCAGAAGGAACAAGAGTCCAGAAAGTAAGCAACATATCTCAATCAAACGCCAATAATTTATTTTAAATAGCCCGAGAGATATACGATCTTTGGCAGTTCGAAACAAGTTGCGAAAATTTTTGATTTTCTAATGTGAAAACTTTAAGTTTTCCCTACATACAAAATCATTTTTTTAAATATACCTTATTTAAAATTTTTTGTTATTGAGTTATCTCAGATCAAATAAAATTTAGCATTTTCACTTTAAATGCTCATAACTCATTAAAAATCATTTTACTGCAATTCAAGAAATAAATTCTTAAAGCTGAAATTTTGAATGATATAATTAAATTTTTTTTAAAATATGTAAATACATGATACACATGAAATAGCACTACGAATTTTGTTTCAATGCAATACTCTTCAGTAAATTGCGCCATGTATGAAGTAAAAAAATAACAAAAAGAACTTTTGGAATAACCTAGTACAATCTCAGGTAGGAATAACGTATAGATGTCGTATATACGCACCGCTTCGCTCAAGCTGGTGATAGTAAATTAAATCTGGCGGATTATGAAGCGAGTAAAGACGAATATATGCATAAGAACGGTTTACATTTGATTTGCCCGGAATATCTACCAGGCTGTTTGTATCGTTAACCAACTCCTATGCAAGAGTAAACGATTTCATAATGGAAACTCGCGGTTGATATTTCAAATAAATCGTGACGTTTGCCTCTGAAGTGGATTATATTTCAAGAATCAATCATTTCGTGCCACGCGTATTTGCTGAAAGCTTATTAAAAAATCTGTGATTATATATGTATATGTATATATATAATATAGGTATATAGAGGAAAGGTCCCTATTATGAGATACCGAGTTCATTTTGAATAAATACTAGAAGAGTGTGGGCATAATTTAAAAACATAACAGATCATTTTAAAGGGAATTTAATAAGCTTTAAGATACTGTTATGTAAAATTTAATTCAAATACTATTTTTTCTGAAAATTAAAGAAATGTAAAAAGTGAACGAATCGCAAAGTCAAAAAATTGTGCTCATAATAACCCCGAAAATTCGATAATAAAGCGCAAAGTACATCAGTATAACAACTAAAAAACTTTATTCAATGTTTCTAAATACAAACAAACATAGCCAATGTGTACGCAAAATCAGCATGCAATACATTGTATACCTAGGACTCATCTTCAGGTAGTTGGAACTAAGCATCACAGAAACAGTAACATTCATACTTCAGTAACGATTGTCACTCGGACATAGGAGCATAGGTTATTTCGTATTAGAAGTACCGTGAGTAATTGAGTACCTCATATTACGAGTTCCACGCCTTACGGTTTTATGATCATCAAATCTAACTTTCTATAATTAAGAAATTCAGCATACCCTGTATTTTTCTATCATAATATGATTTTACTCTATCACTGCATAAAGAATTTACTGCCAAATATTTATTTATTAAATAATAAACGAGGTTTAAAGACTCATTTCAATGAAACTTGAAGACATCCAAATTCTAAAATCTTTTTTTACAACGACTACAGGTACGATTTAATAATGCATCTTCCACTAAATAGTTTTCGACTTAAGAGCAATAAATTCTTGGTGGAATCAACAGATAACATTTATTAGTTTAGCAGAAACGCCGCTATCTCATAATTAGGCGCCTATCTCATAATAGGAGGCTTTCTTCATATACAGGAGGTGTATTCTAAGTACACTAAAAGATTTTAAAGAGTGATTGCTCACACAAATTCAAGACTTCATAAGACGATTTGTCGGAAACGACTTAATTTCAAAGCTGGAAAAAAAATTTCGTTTTTTCGAGTTATTATGATATAATTTGGTATATGTTTAATAGGCATGAAAGCATATCTTTTGGGATTATACATTATCTTTTTTCAATCAAGAGCGGACCTAAGGACAAGCAATTGTATCCAACAAACGGCACGGACGCGACTTGGTTATTAACAGCGCAAATATTTAAATGTCATTAATATATCGATATATTCGATTCTTTAATACTAAATATCTATGTCAAATAGATTATTCGCTTGAAATAGTTTCGGTGCACTTGTTTGTCTTTCCCGCCATGTAATATTCGTACATTTTGATCGACCGAAAATTTTTAATGGACATTGTCAACGTACGGAACATCCCATGTACGTACAACTTTTCTTGACTTCTTTCGGAAAGTGTCGTAAAACCCGGTTTCGCGTTACGATCTTATTGCCTATGTAAAAGCCGGTTAGAGCCGAAAGTTGAAGGAATCGCTATGTATTCAAAACGAAAATTCCGTGGCAGATATCTTCCGCTTAAGTGACCAGCGAGGCGCGTAAAGCCAGCAAATTCTACCTCGTCTTTCGCTGCGGAGAAGCTGGGTGCACCTTTCTCAACAGTAAAAGTAGTCGAACCATTGAAAGTTTAACGCGCCGTAAGCACGTATAGAGTCTTCTTCTACGTAACTGTATCTGGCGCATGCAGCTTTTTCCTCGCGTCCAGCTCGAGATTGTATCGGATGTGCGTTATGAGCCAGCAATAAATAAGCAGCTTCAGCTTTTACACGTAGCAATTCACGGTGCTTAGGTTCAATCACGTTCTCTCGATCACTACAAGGAAGGAAACTACTCGTGAATGTATTCAATATATCCGGCGTTGTGTTAGTTAAAATATCTCTAAACTTTGTTCAAGTAGAAAATGAAACTACTATATATACATATAATATATAATATAATATATACAATATTAATAATATACATAAAATTTAATATATAATCATACAAATTAAAATATACACATACAATTAAAAAATATAAAATATATATATAATTTTATGTTTTTATATAATAATATAATATGTTACATTGTAAAATGTATATATATTATATGTTACTTATCTTTGTATACATATATAAAAGCAATACTTTTTTTATAAAGTTTTTAAAACATTATATAATTGTGCATTAAAATATAATTATTAGATAAAATCATATATTATAACGTATTACCTATTAGTTTCACATTTAATGTACTCTTTTTTCGTACTCATTGAGAGTATGAAGGAATGAAATTCTACCCCTATCGAATATGTGGGGGAGAGAGAGAGAGGGGAAGGGGTAGTTTTGAACACTTTTTCTTCTTAGGCTCATAAATTATTATGTAATGAAATTATTTGTATTTCTGTTGTGCTAGTAGTTACAACAGATATTAATGTACAATGATAAACCACAATAAATATTATAATAAATATAATAACGACATATATATTTTTTTATATTTTAAAAAAGCACTCTTTTACATTCAAAAATATCAAAAATAAAAAATCAAAAGAATCCTTCAGGGATACTCGCTCGACATAATCAACTGTATCTTAATTAATATTGGGAATTTCACTTTCGGATAAAAAATTGTATATTCTTAAAACGCTAAACTATTGATTTAAAAAAAGAATTTTGATTTTTCGAAAGTTTCAAGGTGAAATAACCCTTTAACTTTTATAACTTACTCTCTCTTATAAAAAAAATTCTTATAAAGCGATTTTTCAAGATTTCGCATCTCAATCAATAAGAATGCACGTAACTCTATCATCACAAGAACTAGATAATGAGTATGGTACTTTCCAGCAAGCGACACAGTGTAACACAGTGATCATGTAATCTTCGTTTAACATTAGTATGGATGTAATGATTCACTGTGTTACACTCTGTCATTTGTGTTTCTTGCTGGAAATCACCCTATGTCAGACAATTCAGGTTCTACTGTATATGCATGTATTATATACAAGTTATAGATTACAGGCTGTGTCCTGTAACTTATATATAACTTGGTTAACTCTTATAAATGTGGAAAGATATTTAAAAAACTGTGTATTCGTACTGTCGAAAGCGATTACAAATATGCAGTACAGAGAATCCTTATCCTTGTGCTTGCGTTATAAATCTTTTAATAATATATAGATCGTGTCCGATGCTCATCAACAATCAAACGTAACCTTATCATGTGTATCTATGAGTCGCGAAAGACTGAAGCTTATGGCACATACAAAAACGTAATCAGTAACACGTAAGCAGTAAGCAAATTGGCCAATCACAGTAAAAACCATAAGACCAATAGCAAATTCAATGTTACGATTTCCTTACTGCATACGTCTTACTGTCTTACATTTTTGTATGTGTCATGGGCTTTATGGGAGCTCACGTAGCTCGCCGCTCGACTGAAATGTTCTAAGGTGCCCCGTTTGCTTTGTTCAAATTTACCCCTATCAGTCACATTGAAAAGTATCTTATTTTGTTCATCAGAATACCGATAAAAACTAAATATTTCATCTTTATTACGTAGATATGGATGTAAGAAAAAACAGCACAATAAAATGTTAATTATTTAATGTTTAAATGGTTTAATTTTAAAATGCTTATGTGCGAGACGAAACGTTTAGTATGAAGGCACAAAAACACAAAACGCTTTTAGATTAGATTAACCATTGCAACAACCGCAGCAGCTACTTGACGGTTATCTGTGACTGTATAAGCAGTTCCAACATTACAATTTATAATCGCAGAAAAGGACAGTTCATTTTTAATTTGTAAAGTTCTGAGCTGCCCCCCCCCCCTCTCTCCTACTATATTGCTTTGACGCAATATGGATAGTATGATGACACGGATTCTTATATTTATATTTATAAATATAAACGGCGATATTCATAATATATTATTACACAGAAAATTCTATTCCTTCTGGCATTATATAGGAGGGATAAGTCGTTATAGAGGAACTATAGGTAATTCCGAACACCTGGAGACATTTTCTAATTTTTATTTTCTTCTCATTGTCAGTCTCAAAGAAACGATTGCATAGAAACATCCACGACAATTGTCTTAAACATTACTTCTTTTTACAAATTTTTTAGCAAATTAATATTGATTACTTAACAAAAATATTTGATAACGCAACTTTAATTTTTAATTTCTTAACTTTTTCATATTAAATATCTTATTGTAAGATATTATACTTAAATATCTAATTCAATTATAATATCGCCTATTTAAAATCAAAATGAAAGAAGAATTTTAAAAATAAAGTAAAATAAAATAAATAAAATTCATATTACAGTTCTACGCGCAATTTTTAATCTCCTCTCAAAAGTCCATTTTTATTTTATATCATTTATACTTCAAAATGCTTATGGATGCTGCATTTTTCACTTTTTTAATGAAGGAAACGAGTATAAGGAACTTTATTTTGTTATATTATCTGTCATTTTAGAAATCAAGTAAACTCGGCATTTCGTAATGGTAAATCACCATGGCCGAAGAGCATTTTGGAATCAGCAATTAATTTCACGTGTCCAATCTAAACGAGACAGCCTTCGGTGTAATTGATTCATCAATTAAATCACTGTTGCGATATATCATCTTCGCGATAAGTAAACGACAGAAACATGACCGTTACTGCAAACGTCTGATTTGTCCAAACTCGTTACGCTTCGAATTTAATGTATTAATCTGCCTCTTTAAGAAACATTATGGCCATTTATGGTACCATCATACTTAAACTATGATATGGACAAGTTAGATACCACATATCACTCTCTTGATTAAAAAATGACACAACCTAATAAATTAAGTTTTCCAAAAAAAAAATGAAAACTATTTTTCAACTTGATAGAAAATTATTGACTAATCAAATATTTTCAGCAAATACAATATACTCTTAAAATGACCAAATAATATTTTTGTCATTTTCGTTTCACATCCCTTAAAAAAATTATTCCTTTAAATTGTAACTATTTTTCTAAACCATTCTTTTATTTAATTGTAGATATTAATTGTATTAAAACCATCCTTTTTTTTGAGTTTTGACGATTTTTTGTAAACTTAAGTTAGTTTACTTTTGGTAATTGATAGGGTAATGTTTATTTAACTCATTTATGGTATTTAATAATGAAATCGCGTTTTTTTAATTATGTCACTTTTGAAAAGCGCGTTACATATAACCCTTAATTGGCATCGTAAAAAAAAATGTTAAATTGTAAGTAGTGTATATTGTAAGTCGGATGAAATCACCAGTTAAGAGTTAACATAAATATATTACATATATTCAAATATATGATACAAGTAATCAGGGAACGGAAGTAACTCGTTACTTGTAACCAGTGTTGTACCTAGTGTAGTAACTACAATAGTTAAAACGTTAAAAGTAAAAAAAAAGTTAAAAAGTTAATAACTTTTAACTTAACTTAGTTAATTTTAAATGCATTAAATTTTAACTTAACTAAGTTACTTTTAAACGTTAACTTTTTAACTTTTTTTTAAGTTAAAAAATTTTTTATCTCTTTTAAATGCCATAGAAAAATAATAAAATATAATAAGACTAAGGGTATATATTCGTAATTCGTTCATATTTTAAAACCATTTTAAGTAATTTCTTAAGATGCTAATACAGCCCTCTGATTGGCTTATGCCATAAGCTTTAATCCGGATCTACAATAGGTGTTTTAAGCCTTAAGTCATAAGAAATTGACCAATTACAGTCGAATGCGAGGAGAATATTTAACTGTAATTGGTCCATTTTTTATGGTTTAAGGCTTATTAAAAAGTAAAGACCTAAAAAGTTATGTTATATCATATGTGAATAAAAAATAAAAAATTTAATTTACTTAATAATCTATATTGTAGTTGTTATTTAATCTCATTTTAAAAAAAATTAGGACATTTTTATCTCAAAAATAATTTTTTTCGAAACTAACTTTTTTTTTAATTTAAGTTAATTCAATATTAACTTAACTTTCGTTAAGTTAATTTTTTATTCCTTCAACTTTTAACTTAACTGTATTGATTTTGTAAAGCCATTAACTTTATTCAGTTAAAAAAAAACATTAACTTACCCAATCCTGCTGGTAACGAAGTTACAGTTACAAGTTACTTTTTTGGTAACTTTACTAGTAACTACGTTACTCTTTTTTATAACTGTAACGGTAACATAGTTACATTTTTTGGTAACGATAACGAATTTTGCAGTTACTTTTATTGTTGCTTTGCACATGATTGGACATAGTTCGATTGAACACAAGCCACTCATAGCGCTTGAGACTAGAAAGCCTCTAGGCACTTGTCCGCTGTGATTCGTGGTCGTCAATTTTAAAAAAGTAACAGAAGAATAACGAAAAGTTACTTTCTCAAGTAACAGTAACTGTAACGAGTTACTTTAAAAAATCGGTAACTTGTTCCTTTTAAAAAGTAACGTTCCATCCCCTGCAAATAATATAAAAATTACAATTTTTATGTTTTAATGCATTTTGTTTTTGAATTACATTTTTCGTAATAGCTCCTATTTGATAAATATAAGAAAGAAATGTATATATCCCCAAAATATTTCATAATTTATCTTCTTTCCAGAATATATGTACCGTTATTTTCCTGAAAAGAGGGTAAAATAGAGAGAACAAGAAAAAGAGAGCATCACGTTTTCTCAGTTCCGTACGTAGAAATCAGGACTGTCAGCAGCCAATTCTGAACTTCAGTTATTAAATTTTAAAATACTTTGTGATTTACCCACTTTCGATAGTAGGTACGATGTTAAACGCGACATTGATTGTATTCGTGAATCAGTGTTAGAAAGTTTTGACATTCGTGAACTTTTTTCTGCGACTGGTTCGACGTTCATTTTAGAATTCGAAGATTCGGCATCGGTAGTTGCTGGACATCGAATTTTTATGCAGATATTTATTATTAAAAAAGGCAATTGATAACTAAACTTTAAGTTGTTTACAATATTGAACGTATTTATACTGCAACATTCACTAATATGCATTTTCTACGCAAAAATATTGTATGTAAAATAATGTGCATTATATATGCAAGATATATGTCAAAATATGTTTTTATAAAAATTTTTCTTTATAATATTTATTTATGTTGCTACGTTAATGTTATTCATCTCTAAAATTGAATAAATACATTTTTAGCTATATTTTTTATTATTTTGGTTATATAAATATTGATAACAACTAATATCTACAATTGACACGATTACATTGAAAATTTACATTTTACTTATAAGATTATACAAATTATACATAATAAAGCAATTTAAATTATAATTTAAAGTAAAATATTTTAAAAATTATAATTTAAGTCATATAATAAACAACTAATTTTCTCAAAATTGTAAATTTATGGCATTTATCTGAGAAAATTATCTTGTATGAAGAAATTGAACATTTCACGTCGGAATTTGTGCTACAAACGTGTCAAATATCGAATAATACTGGTAAAGAAACACCGTTTATATAATATAAAATAGATACATATAATTATGTAAAATATGTAAAACATTTGAAAACGTGCAAAAAAAAGGATGCAAACATACATAAAATATACAAATATGAACAAACATGCAAATATGCACATATACACAAATAAATAAGTATTTTTAGGATAATATTTTTCAATAAGACAAATATTTTCATTTTGATCTTACTTTTAAATCTGCTCTATAAAAAATATGCCTTAAGAATCCGATATTTATATAGCAATTGCACTCAGCACCAAATATGTCGCGTTGATTAAGACTCACAATCAGATCAATATCCAATTTGAATATATAAATGTACACGCAATAATTCTGAATACAATTGGAAGGCGATACTCCACAGATCGATTGTGCGAAGTCCATTTGCACTTGCCGCGAACAAAGTTTTTATCGAAATGAATTTTCACGCCTCTCTAATTGATTTGTCGATTGTAATAATAAAGTTATTAAATGTTTTCATTCTATATTATATTTCATTATAAGAGAATATTGAAGTTGTTTAAGAAAAATAAAGATATCTCTCTCTCTCTGAAAGTTGAAATAATTGCGTAAATTTCAATGAAATTAGTCATATTAAATTATCGGTATTTTAGACCGTTTATCTGATTTTTAAGTAATAACAGCACATTTGTTTCAGTTAATTAATTAGCAAAGGATGGATTCTTTTTAATTCAGCATTTCCGTTCTAGACGGTGACAGCTCAATAATAACTGAAATACATTGGAAAGAAATGAAAATTGCCAGTGGCAATAAATTTAATAGACTAATGGACGGCAGCCAAAATTAACAGTCTGCATCCGGCAAATGGATATAATTGTGTGGCTAGACAGTACCTTGAAAAGAATGTTGATTTTATATCCTAAATATGTACTATTCTTTATTACAATTGTGACATCGAAAAGATACCAAACTATATGTATAATATAAGGAAATTGATTATAAGTAAAAAATTATGCACAATGACGTATTGTTAAATGACGAATTGTGGCGTGTCAATGTCACGTGACACTCCGCAAAAATTAAAAAAATTTGTTTCGCGTAAATCAACGTTTAACTTTCGCATTCTACAGTAACGACAATTGGTTTATTGACGACAAATATCAAACGATTTTTTACTACCAACAGTACCGACCATTTCAGAGCTTTCGCTCGACTCAGCTTTACGATCTCGTTCGTCCAATAAATGGAGTAAACATCGACTACGATCAAAAGGTACCATGATCAAGAGTATCTGTCTGTCTGAATTGTCTCTACGATATCTCACAGAGGGTTACGTTGTCAACCATATTCGGTGTATCTCTTTTGCCATACTACATTTTTCTTCCTGACATTCCTTCTATCATATTTATTTTGTTCATATATTAACTGAACAAGCGTGTATTGACATACGTTCAGTTTTCGACAAAATATTGAAACAACCACATAATTTTTTTTTTAATGAAAGCTTCGTAATTATTGTCTCTTCCACTATCGCGTAACATATGTTTCAATTTATCGTACCAAAATTACATTTTAAAATTTGTACAAATTTATTAATCGAAAAGTATTAAAAAATTGATACATTATGATTTATATAATACTTGCTGTGTATAACAATTATATCTTAAGTTTACTAAAAAATTACATGGACAGAACGGGATATCAATTATCGTATTAAAGTAGATAAGGAATGTGACATTTGTATTGAATTAGACAAGAACTGTGCTTCATTCCGAAGTGTAATACATTAACAGCCGTACCGGGTGTGCACTTGTGAGCGCATTATGCATTTGACAGTCGTCCAGAGACATATAACATCACAGCCAGAGAGTAATATCCTTCTCTTCCGTTCAACTTGCCAGTGTTTAAGCTCACAGAGAACTTTCGTGCGAGTTTCGTGAAAGACATCGACCGATTTGCGAATGCTGACGCGGCCCGTTAATCATAATCCATTTTAAACAAATTTGGCTACAGCGTTAATTGCGAATCGCAATTATCTACGCCAAGAGTAATACACGACAAGTGCCATCTTCACCATACACATGCTGCGAATAATTAATTCTTGCTAATACAAGGCTTGCTATTGCGTTAATGAGTAATAATGTTAAATGATGGTAAAACTTTTCCTTTACAATTAAAACAATACGTTATATCGTATTTTGAATAAAAATCTCTAAAAAAAATGTATTATAAGTATCACAAAAAGAACGATTTCGCTAAAATATTTAAAAGTTTAGCTAGATACAAATCTGAAAAGTTTAGTTCAGATACAAAATAATTTTATTGGACCAAAATAATTATGTACAAAACTCAAGTACGATGAGCATCAGTACTACCAAAAATTATGATATTTTAGCTTGAGCATCCTACATATTTCATTTTATATAATTAACTTAATTTAAAATTATTATATTTACAAAATTATTATCAACAAAATTATTTTCCATTTCTAGTTAAATTCTTACAATTAAACAATTCGAAGCAAGACAATTTTTCTTTCTACTTCCTCTCTCTCTCTCTCTCGCTCGCTCGCTCTTTTCTTTTTCTTTTTTTCTGTAATAACAGGCGCAGAACATAGTGTCAGAATATATAGTAAAAACCAACCAGATTCAATTAAAGTGGCAAGATCAGCAAATTTTCAAATCTTTCGCAGCCAGCGCGATATTCGAGTACAACCTGTCATTGTCACGAAGCGACAACCACCATGCGATTGTCGCCCGTCGTGTGTAATATCATTGCAAAGTGGAATTATTATGGCGGTGAATAATATTTCGCCTGGATTTCGGTGTGAAACGCACGCTCGTGCGGTCGGATCGCGTGACAGGCTACGTCAAAAGGACGAATTACGTGACCAAACGACGTGTATTTTCGAGACAAACGAAGCGTGTCGTTTCGCTCCCTCGCGAAACTGTCGGCCATCCGGTCAGTGTGGCAACAACGGCGCGAATAATAGTAATTCCCAGCATAATGGAATCGGCCGGTTAGGTAACGAGGTTATCGAGACTGAAGTTATTCGCACGGTTCCTAGCTCCATCCACTCGGCATTGCAATTACGTCAGTGCACCAGTTGTGTTTAAAATATAATGTTACGTAAAATTAATGCATCGCTGAATGATTCGTTAATATTTATGAGATGATATTTAGCCAATTATATTTTACTGCTGATCTTTACGTACGTAATTTGTCGAATTCAAAGATTAACGAGGTACGAATTACTAAAAAAAAAATGTATTTACATGGAAAGAACAATTTTGTTATAATATCTAAAAATTTAGCTATAGATACAGAACATAATTTGTTCACCAAAATAATTATTAAGAACGCCTAAAGAATAGAGGGATATTTCAAGATTACAATCAATTCGCTATTTCTATGTTAACTAATACTTCGATCTTGTAAGGAGACAGTGGGTACATATATTTCGAAGATAGAGAGTTTACCAGTCAAAGGGAATAAGCACCAAAATCTCGTTATGCATATTTCGAGAGCACATAAATAGAAAGAAGTATTTTAAACCTATTACAATTAATTCCCTATCTGTATTTTAAATGGTATTTTACTTTTGTGTCAATGATATATGTGTCGAACTTTATTGACGTGTATCTTCTAAATCGTTATAAATATATTAATTTTGTGCTCTGGAAAGCATATAAAAAGCACTTAATTGTACTATATATATTAACTTTTTAATTTTATATATAATTTAATAACGGGGATGCTAACCTAAAGTTAAGTTGTACGTTTGACCGCGATTTTCTGCTAGACCATTCGAGCGCAAAAGTTGGAACTAGAGCACATAATTTGCACATTAAAGTACTTAATTTTGGCAAAGGTGTCATTTTAATTTTAGTAAAATGTAAAATGATAAAGGTAAAATGTTTTGACATTTAGCAACTTATATTATATACCACAGAAAACAA